CAAGGAATGGAAGAGAAAGAAGGATAAAACATTTTTATTTCGAGCGGTGATCACTCGCACGGCCAATAGAATGAGTGACGCCGTACCAAGATATGATATTTCTTGGTAAGTAGAACAAGTACCAGGCTTCTATACATGAATAAATTAACGATGGTGAAAAATCTGGCATGTGTTCGGTGTTCACCGCCGGGCTTAATAAGCGAGTGACATTGGGTGTACTTGCGCCAGTGAGAATCTTCGTAAACAACGAGGAATGTTCAATTTGAAGCTTTTGTTTCAACATTTATAGCAGATCAACATAAAACGAATAACTACTACCTCGATTCCATTCGGACACAAGAAATTGTACATCTATCGATATACATAATGTTAACGGGTGATAACCTGAATCTACTCACTCCATCACTCGCTTTTACCACTTGCAGTTGAATCCAGCTCAACACCATCGCCTCCACCTCAACTCTACCTCTTCGTCTTCTCCTCTCCGACATACTTCGGCTCCATAGCAAATCGCAACCATTCTAATGCGCGTAAGCCCCCCCCTTTCCCGCTCCATGCTTCTCAAGCACTGACAAACCAAGACCAAACGCCCCCCCAACCACTTTCTCTGCCCGGAAACTAGCCCATTCAACTTCACAATAACCAATGCCCACACCCTGCGCCTGCGCCTACCGTCACACGCTCTCTTCCAAATGCAAGTATTCCACACCTCGCCCGAGCCAACGCCCCCGCATACACCAACAAAGATGCGGTTCGATACTGCTGCAAGCTTGAGGGCGCTGGAACTGCTGAGTCCGGGTGGACCGCGAGTAGAGCCAAGAATGACTACGGGAGTGTTGAAGAGAAGGGACAACTGGTATCGGCAGAACGAACAGGGCAAGGAGAAGGGAAAAAAGAAGGTGTCCTGGCTGGAGGATGGTGAAGAGATGAAGAAGCGGCTGCAGATCATGGACGAAGAGCTGAGGGAAGCGCGAAACGCAGAGGCAAAGTTATAAGTTGTAGGTGAGGCAGCAGCGGATGAAAGTTAGCGGGTGGCTGCGTGGATGCGTGGGCGACGCGGGGATAGTCAAATAGACTGGGGTTTATTGGTAGAACACAGTGTTTGTCTAAGTAGGATCCCGTCTTTGCTAAATAAAAGAGACCCATTGATGACTGTACGAGTATATAGATGATGCTACAGAGACTGCTGACTATGTAACTAAATTTACATGTGTTGCGTTTTGTCGAGGCTGTATTGCGCAGCCTAGCTAGTACGCACATTGTTGCAATTATGCGCACTTCACATGAACACCTCATGTGCACACACCGCAACCACCATCGCCGACCCTCTTCAATCCCAATTAATGTCACTGACATCAACCAAGTTCATAGACCACTTCATCCTATGCCGAACTCTTCGCTCACGCGCCTACGACCGCTTTCTGACGATTGCGCTCCGGAGACGCTAGTTTCAGCCGTTCCGGATAACGAAAGAAGCGATTTCAATAGCTGCGTCAAGAAAAACAATACTTGCGCACCTTCTAGGAATCGTGTGAGACCCTGAAGATGGCGCTGGGCGGTGAGGTCGGCGCGCTCTTGGCGAAGGCGTCGGTCGGCCTCCTCTCCCCGACAGCTGTGGCTCGTATTAGAAGGATTTCGTAATGGATCTTAGATGGTGATGGCCAGCGCCCAAGGAGGAATTTTGCATTCTGTACTTGTACAAGATATGCCGGCTGTAGCCGAGAGTCGGTGTCCTTGGAAGTTCTATCTCCCTCGCAACGTCCCACAAATTCTAATCAAAAGGCCGTGGCAGCGATTGCTATAATGAGGAGCCATCTATTGGACATACCGTTTCGTTTTTCTGAGCAGCAATTCCGAAGCGTCCCACAATCACAAAGTTAAACAAGAAGAAACCTGACCGAGCGCTCGCCAAGCTTTTTAAAAGAAGGGAAACTTTCTGGAACGGCCGGGTACTCCTGAACGACTTTCCTCCATGCCATCGCCGCCGCCGTCGCTCAGAGACTTCATTTCTCTGTCGCCATTCCTTCCCCGCGCGCGCCAAATCAAACAATTCTAGAGCATCGAATGATGTTGATTTACCTTGATGGCAGGACCCAGCTAGCACGTCTTTACGTAATTCCACGGCAGTAAGATGGGAGCAAATAGGACGATATGTTCTAGGTGGCCGGCAGTTAACTAACACACGCGGTCTGCGGAGTGACTAGTTTCTCATCGGTGACCGAAGTCCTGTATTCAGCTGGTAGAGTTAGTTCGTCGTTCGGTGACACGTGAGGTAGGAGTAGCAACACCACCTCAGGACAAGACTCATAAGGCTATGAACATCATTATTTAGAGTAGGGAAGCAGTATTCCCGAGCACTGAGTGACAAAACCGAGCAACGTGCACGGCTCTTGATCGTTATTTCATTTTCGGCGTGCTCGGGCATCAAACCAAACACACAGCGCTCCCAACTCCCCTCGGCTCACTACCCCCCCAAAAAGCAGAAAAATAAGTACACAAGAACCATCCTCCCACTATACATGATTGATATTCCTCTTCCACACTCAATTTCCTTGTGTTCCGTCGGTCATTTTCTTTCGAAAAAACTTCGGCACAGTATCAGGCTTAGCAGGCGCGATCCACGAAAATCTTGCGGCCCCATACTTCTCCATATGCAGCGGCTGCGGCTGCGGTAGTGGCTTCTCTGCCGCTTGGGGCCGCGTCATTGGGCTAATAATGTGTGATATTTCGTTGTTAACTGCCATTTGATCGAGAAATGAGGATATGTTCAGGATAGATGAGAGGTGAGCGATGACTAATTGGCGTTCGGAAAGGAATATAGAAATATTACAGGATGCCATCAAATGACGGGTGGGTGAAAGGTAAGGTCTTTATCTGCGCCGCCGCGGAACATCCATCTTGACACCCCCGCCGGGCATTAAGGGTCGGAGGGCGCCCCATCTTGTGGGTGGTGATGATGCCAAAGCGCCAAAAACCGATCTTGTTATAGCGGAGGTTGTGCGGGAGAACAACATGTGCTCACGCAAATATGACGGACAGTTACAAGCATTAAACCAACGCTTTGGGAAACCTTAAGTTGCGATAATAAATTGAGGGAGGGCAGTAGAAGCTTCGGTCCGGCCATAGGTGCATGCGCCTCATGGAGTTTGGAGGTGATTAATTTGGTGGAGCTCGTATCATACTCAAAGTTCCTGAACCCTAGCTGACTGCAAAATATGCCAACTGCGGCTTCTATTGGTTGAAAATCGTACGGGTCAGTTGTTTACAAACTGTGGTTCTGGCTAAGTAAGCGATCTCTATCCCAATCTGGTTCATTAACAATGTATAACTAGGGTGTAATCGACGGGCCAGAAAGATTTCGGGTCAGGACAGTTTAATCAGAAGCAATGAGGTTTGCGTCGACTTGAGATGGTGACAACAGGCACAGTTCGAATTCTGACTGCCGGGTTCTTTCAAGGGAGGTGACGTTTTTGGTATTTTTCATGTCGTGATTGAATGCGACGGGGTGTCCTAGTGGTGGGCTACTATAATAGAAGCCACCGACAATTGAATGGCGGGGCTGGCCGCTTCAGCCTGAAGAAAGGCGATCAACGGGTCAGCCCAACGATCCCACCAAATCCTAACTAGACTACCATAAAAAGCGAACTTCTTCGCACCACTCTACCTACAACACATCGATCCTCTCAAGCCACCATCGATACAAATCCACCACCAGATGCCTCGAAACCGCAACAACGGGCACAGTAAGGCTCAGATCGCAATGTTGAAGCAGCAGAACGAAGCTGAAAAGCAAATTGCTCTGATCAAGGAACACCTAGAACGTCAAGGGATGATGAAAAAACTTGGAGGAGGATTAGACTTACCCGCGGCGACCGACGACAAGCGCGATCCGCAGACATCGGAACAGAACCAAGATACTAAGGCCCGGGCCAATCCGATGGGACCATCAAAGCCAGTTATTACAGTTAAGTCGAAGTGTCCAGAGACGCATGCTGGCAAGGCCGCTCCACAGAGCGAACACTGCAACCACAATTGTATGACCACCCAGAAGCCAGGCTACAGACCAGCCAGCGTTCCGTTGGAGACAACGAAGCATCATGAATGTGATAATTCCGATGACAAAACTGAACCTGCAGCTCTAAATAAGGATTACGACCGTTCCGAGCTCGACGATTCCGACGCGGAATGGTAAATCATCCGGTGTTATGACAAGAATGTGCTTTTCGGTGAACTTGCTAGTGCGCTCTGGTTTCACCGGTTGTCTGTCGATTAAAATGGTTGTTTGAGAAATGAAATAATGATAGTTGTGACGCATTCTACCTGTGACAGTCTACATAAGTAACTGGCGTATCTCCAACCCCGCTCCTACTTTTCCAACTATTTAATTCTGCCAATCCGAACTCTATAGTTGACAGGTCCCTAAAGAGACCTGTAATTGCCCGCTTGCATTCCTACATCATCGCGGCCAGGGCAACGAAAATTACATCAGGGACAGATTTTGATTGATTCCACCAGTTCGTAGTGTGCCAGACTTGTCACTAAAACTCTCGTCCGCGACTGGGCGCTTTTCTAGGTGGTCCATGCAGGATCAGCAAAGAACCTTCACCGCAATTCATGAACACTAGCTCTTTCATGGAGCACCCGGCGTACCGGCCTACTCACCGACCCAACAGGTCGAAATGGAGAAAACATCCATTGGTTTCTTGCTTACTCAATCGATCAAAGCTCCCTACATAATTTATTCAATCCGTTCATGTCAGTACTACGTCTGGAACCCCACATATCCAAGGCGCTGTGCGATCGACGTCTTCACGGAAATACCTCTCATCAAAACTGGAATAAAGATTCCGCAAGACCCAAGTTTCATGTGTAGTTCCGGTGCGTCATCCATCGGAGCTCTCCATCAGCCAACAAGGTGTCGGTACTAACGCGCATTCCCCATGGTGTACAATGGTGTACCCGGCGGATTACCAATGTCACGGAACCTTGATTACTCATCAGACTCCGTGGCGCAACGGTAGCGCGTCCGATTCCAGATCGGAAGGCTGCGTGTTCAAATCACGTCGGGGTCACTGCCTATTCTTTTGCTGGCACAGTTCCAGGTCTCCAGAAGACTTACTCCTAACATCTGCCCCGGTGGCGGTTTGCCTGGAGGTGGAGGCGGCAGACCGCCGTTATTATTTTTTCAGAGCGACGAAGATGGAAGTCACTGTGGCCTACAGTGCGTCCGGTGGCACAATCTCTCCAAGACTTCTATCTACACAGGTAATGGTTGATAGCCCAGCATGACCGCCAAGCGGCCAGATCCGGAGAATGAAGGTATTTCTCTCACTATGTGGCAATATATTAGTACTACCATTAGTCTTTGTAATCTGTAACATTCAAGATGGCTACTGGGAAGGAAAATCAAGAATTCTGGCGGTTTAGCAATGTTCGGATACAGACTATCGGCCAGTTTGCGTAAGTTTTTCTGGTTACAACGATCACAAAAACAAAATATATGTTCCATCGAAGTCGTCTGTGCCAAGGAAAGCCAAGCCTTGATATAAAATCAGTAGGCAAACAGAAAACCCCACATTAATAACGACTTGGAGTCTCCAACCAAACAAGCGTAACTCACGGACTTACCACGATCTGTAGACAGACTATAGTTCCGCTGCTGAATTACGATCATCCAAAATGTCGGACCTCTCCAGCGAATTCTCTGAGTATGCATGCATTCCGACTTCCGGCCACTCGATCGCTAATCTCACAACCTGTGCTTACCTGCGCACACAGATCCTTCAAATCCCCACTCTTTACTGTCATGGTCGGCCCCGAAAAAAAGTCCTACGGCCTGCACAAAGATATTCTCTCTCGCAAAAGCCCCTACTTTAAAACACTTCTATCCTTCCCCGGCGTGGAATCCACGACCGACAGTGTGCACCTTGACTCTGCCGTTGACACTGTGCAGGCCTTCGATATGTTGGTCCAGTTTTTATACCGAGATACATACAAACCTACGCCTCACTTGTCAGACTCCTGGAAAGCACAAATACACGCCGAAGTTTACGTTCTCGCAGAGCGGCTTCTAATGCCGGACCTCAAGGATCTTGCGCTCGAGAGCATGGCACGCACGCTTCAGAATCTATACGGCTCCCAAAACATCGATGTGTATGATCCCGTACAAAAAACTTGGGGTTTAGAAACCGTCTCGGTTGTGGACCTGGAGGGGGTGGCGTGCTTGGTTGCAACAGTGTACACAAACTTGGAAGCTGAGCCGAAGGAGGAGGAGAAGGAAGATTCAGACAGTAGCAAGAAGCCAGAGAAGACTAAGAAAAGTGCGACGACAAAGACGAAGGATAAGATGAAGCGGATTATTGCAAGGTACTGTGCGTCGGTGCTGGATGTAATCAGGGACACCTCACCAGACATGGTGAGCGAGTTGGTGGACGAGCACCCAGAGTTTGCGGTCGATCTGATTATGGAGTTGAGCCCGCGAACAACGGAAGTGAGGGCAACTGAGACCGCTTACTTGTAGCTATATGTTTTTCTTCCGGTGTCTATTGTGCATTAAAATAGCGTTATTCGAGTGCTAGGACTTCACGTCACCTGATTTAAAATCAACTAGCTAGCTTTTACCAAATCTAAAATAAGTGTCGTTCACATAGCATTCAAGAAGTAGGCTGTTGGAACCCCAAATTTGGCGATGTGACGGCCAGAACTGTGAAGTTTTTGTTTTTTTCCGGCAATCGTGTTCTGCATCGCCGATCACTCGGCTGACAACAGATGTTCTGACAAATATACCAACGATTACACTTTCGACCGGTACCGATAGGCCAGCTCGTCAGATTGGGATACCGTCGACCGAGAGGCTAACATTTACATTAGTCTATACTATCGCTTTACCGAGTAGCCATAACATAATTTACGTTCTGTAACAGCGGTAGACCAATTGTGTATATACTTCCACGGACTGCAATAAAAATTCGATTTCTCCGTGAGACCATGCCGGTGCTATTATCATTTGTACTAGTAGTATAGTGCTGCTTGTGTTGTTGTCCGCAAGCCTGTAGGATTCTCACACTGGCGATCGTCCGATGAATGACAGTGTGTCGAGCACTTCACGTCTTCATTTTACATCGACACTGAACACTTTAGTTTGCAATAACGAGTTATTACAAAGCGTGTACTTGGAGCTCATTTGAGAAATTCAATTTCTGCGGATTAACGCTGGTGGACGGTGGCAATTGGGGTATCGATTGAGCAGCCGGTATTCCAGGCTCACCATTTGGTGTCTCGGATCCCGCGAGTAGCTCGTCTGTCAGTCATTCGTAGGCATGTGTATCCTTAGAACTGTGGCTCTTAATCTCCGTATTTCCCTCTTGCTTCTGTACCTCAAAGAGATACAGTTCATCTCTGCAACCTTTCCTCCTACAACTGCCGAACGTTCTGTCTTTCACTGCATCAGTAGTGACTCGCGATTGGAGTAACCCCTCGCGCAAATAATCCTCAAAACTGCATGTTGGGGACATGCAGATTCTCCATACATGGGTGATTGCCGAGATCCTCTGCAACGCACGAAGAAAGACATCGTATGGCCGACAATCTCTAAACGGTCGCGTCGACGTCCAGAAGTTTTAGGTAAAACATTCCAATATGCGACATCTTCGACGGCGTATTTCAACAGCCTAGTACATATCTCTCATTCTCTTTTGATACGGCGTGGAGTTTTCAACAGATCCATCGCGAAATCGACACTTGACCGCAGACTTCGGTGCAGCGGTCTGGCACTCCCGGTACCGTTGGCAGTCACACGACCTCACTCGCCTGACACCAGTTATGCGAAAATTAATTATGGATTAATTGGAGTTTCGGTATATGTCATTCTCTCTTTGCTTCCTGACTTACTTGGCAATTCTTAGGTCCATAGATTGTCGTGGCTAGTAGCTAAAAAGTTTGGTTGGCATACCGTCGGATATAAACACAACCCCCGTGGCCCAGAAGCCCAGTCGAAAAGCGAGCTAAGGATAGAGCGACCGGATCTCTGCACAATCTTTGATTCTAGAGCGCCGCAATTGATTACACATCGTGGTTATTTATTCCGGGCGATGGGTGTTTTGTTGGCGGTTTGAGGCTAGGAGGAGCGGCACGTGTGGTTTTGAGAGATTGAGCAAGCAGGTTTCCATGAATGACACGGCGATACCTCCTGGAGGACATGCATAGATACACATTTTTTCAATTCAGTACGCATTCCTGGCAACCGGCATTGGCGTCATGTGAACCCGCATCTTTAGGCTGCGTTCGTGTACGGTCGGTCCGATTGTCGGTCAATTTTCAGGGTTCCGTTCGTGGCCTATTATCAAGGGTGGAAGGACGCACTAGCAAGTTCGCCTATGAAGAAAATTTGAACCCTTCCGAGTGTCCGATCTCGCAACTCAACTTCAACCAAGGCAGTTCATAAAAGCTTCCTTGCAAATCATCAACCCCGTAGTCTGTAATTTTTGCAAAAAAAAAAAAGAATTTTGAAGGATAGATATCGTGCAATTAAAGCAATAAATTACAATTGCAGCCTTAGTGGTGCGGTTGTGTGGTTATGTGAATTACGGTGTAGAGGCATGGCTGACTCGTTAACGTTGAGAATCGGACACGAACGGAGAAAATAGGTCCTTTTCAAAATGTCCGTTTGAGGAGTATTTTGGATGGTTGATCGGAACCTACTAGCCGAACGCAAGTTTTTGGTCCGACAGGGGTCCGAAGGGTCTTCCGATTGTTGTTCGGAAGAGCTGTTGATTTTTGGTGGGGCGAACGGAACGGAACCCCGTACACGAACGCAGCCTTAGTCATCTCGGACTCATCCCACAAGGCGCTTAGGGTCGCCTATAATCGGTCCGAAAATGAGCGGATTTTCGGACTTCCGAAGAGGACCTACTCTCGGAAGGTCGGCCTTCGGATTTCTCGGTTCGGAAATCTTCTCAATTTTTGGTGCGCGAATCGGATCGGAAGTCCTTAAATTTTTTGTCCAAGATGCAATGCAATAATGATTACCTCGACTTGCGGCTTGCAAACCGGGTAAGCTGTTCATTGCGGTAGTGATACAGCGGATGACAGAATCTCTGTGGTGAAGTGTCTGCAATTTGCAAGGCTGCGTCGAGTGATGGTTTTGGCTTGAAGTGGCCGACGCACAGAGTCGCTACCAATCTGCACAGAGACTAAGTCCTACTTGGGGACGTTTCAGCAGTAGATTCTCTGCAAACTATAGATGCGAGGCTGTACAGGGGTTTGGCGACCGAAATCAATAGGTTGGAAACTTGGAGTTCATACACGGAGAAATGTGATTTCGACCAAGTACCACGCGCAAAAAGTCTAACCTTTAGCGGACAAACTGCTTCCGACCTGATTTTGCATAGCGAGAATTGAAGGAGCACTGTCCTTTCTTTATTTTTTCGATGATGGAGAATCGGACATTGCGGATAGGCCGGGCGCCTCTCCGGATTATGTGAGTTCCCCGCCGCCCTGTCGGCCGCCAGGGTACAGACAACGAATACGGGTAAATCGAAAAGCTACATGTATTAGATGACGTATCTCGGTCAAGAACTCTGAGAATTAGAATCCATCATGTCATTGTCGTACACGGTTGGACTGAAATCTCCCGAGTCCCCTGAGATCCGTATCTGGTCGTTCGACACCATTATAATCCAAATCCCTCATCAAGTATAGGAACGAACTGCGTTTTGGAGAGCTGGCTTATGCATGAGATGTGTGGTTATCGAGACTTTCAACATTGCATAACCAATCACTCGATTTTGATCATGTGGGCTCGGGTCTCATAGTGTCTCATCGCCCGTATTCTGTTCTTCTCTTCCCTTAACGTGCACGCAATCTCACAACGATCACTACTTAAAATACGTTCAATTCATCTCTAACAGCGGTTTGCTGATTACTTCATCAACTATCCCCATTCGAACCCGACCCTATTCTACTCTATATTCAGATCGCACCAAGTCACCGACATCAACCACAACACCGGCCCCTGCCCCGCCTCAATATAAGCTCGTCCGTATTCGGTACCACTGGCAACCCCTCTTCCCCA